TGTTTTATAAAAATGAAAACAAATGTACTAAAGAACTTCGGATTATTAACCTAACGGTCCTTTTCTATTTTTCAATTTATTTGCATATATATATATATATATATGAACATTATATATATATAAATATAAATGTGAACATTGAAGTCAAACTTAGAAACGACAGTCTATTTCATTCTAGACGCAATCGTCAGGCCTGACGATTGTGTCTAGCATGAAACATCTTGTCGCCTCTAAGTGTTGACTTCAATGTCCACTGTTATATTTACACACGCTCTATCTTTGATAGTGAGCACTTCATCCCATAGATATAGCACACCTTAAGAGTATATTTCTTCATATATATATATATATATATATATATATATATATATATATATATATATATATATATATATATATACAGGTGCTGGGTAAAATACATATAATATAGATATCTCCATGGGATCGCTAAAAAAGAGCATAGCATGAAAAAAAAGGAAGCCAAACATGACGAAAACAAAATTTTATCGTCTAAATGCTTATGTTATTATTAAGAGGAATGACCAAAGTTTATTTTAATTATTTTTTAACATTTTTCCATTTTTTTAGAACATTCTAAATTCTGATTAAAAAAAAAAACCTTCTTTCTCTTTGTATCACCGGAATTAGTAAAATGACATATACAATTTTTACCACTTTTTTTTTTTGTATGTCCCACATTAATTTCGAAAATCTTGCAAAAATAAAAATAATCCCCGGATGTTAATGAAACTTTCAGAAACTATTCACAGATGATAGAAATTATTATATATATATGTCTTTTTGTTAAAGTCATGGCAGAATTTTTTTCATATTTATTACCCCACCATAACTAATTTTATGAAAACGCTAGAAATTCGATCGCGTCAGGTTTAGTGATTACAATAGTTAAAAGCACAAGGCTTCGAGCGATGCAAATCATGTTTTTTTGTTTTTTGTTTTTTGTTTTATTTGGACCCCACTACCTGAAAATCATCTCTGAATTGTAACATACAAAACTCAATAAAACAAGATATTATTTCATTTCAGATGCTTTTATTTGCTTTTAGTCGTTTTTATGAATATGGACAATATTTTCTGGAAGCAAAATTTTTTTTCGATGAAAAATGAATTTTTAATACAATTATTTGTTATTTCTTTAATTATAATAGATTTTTACATTTAAGTTGTTAAAATATAAAATTAGTTAAAAGCCGCATCGGGTTTCCTAAGTGTCCTTATGAGATCTTCTTTTAGCGCGTTGTAAATTGTGTCATTTTCACTAATTAGAAGATCCGCAGTAATTAAGAAATGTAATTTTGTGTTTATAATCGGGCTGTAATTATAAAGTACGGAAGACCAACCAGAATACAATAAAGTTGCGTTATTTGAGTTAAGCATTGTTCTTCGCTGTTAAGGCCTTTACATTTGCGAAACTCGTGTGAAGTTAATTTGAATTTTCAATATCAACTGAGAAGGGTACCTACAAGTATCAGTATCATCTTATGAAATTTATATGATCTTATTTGTATATTAATTTCAGTTATGACATTTTTCCATAAATGAAATATCAAAATTAATAATAAATGAATTGAAAAACGAATAAAACAGTAAAATGTAATAAATGTACATAAAATTATAGTATTTTATGTACACTTCTGATAAAATTTCATAAGAAAGGTACCTATAAGTTAATTAGATACCTTTCTTATGAAATATGAAATTTAATCTCACTCTTAACAGTCTTATTTTAATTTCTTTATAATATATTTTCCATAAAACATCGTAAACGTAAAAGTGAAAGCTAAGTAAAAAAGAAATTAGAGCGCTGAAAGTTTTCCTTTAAAATAACGAGGTAAATAATTTGTTCACTTAAATCGAAATAACTTCACTTTTCGCCTTCTGTAGAACAAATTATGATCACGTAATCCGTCAATACGTCATTCAACACCTGTCAAGTGACGCAAAAGGTTATGATCTGTTTTGTTTCAAATTACATCTTTTCAGCGCAGAAGCTAAGTCAACCTTTGTTCAAAATATTTTAAATAAGCAATATAATTCCTGATTTTCTTAAAATAAGTTTTGAAAAAATGATAACTGATTTTTAAAAGAATTTCAGAATGAGATTTTCATCTTTTTTATAAAATGGAAAAAAAATTGACGCCATGATCAATTATCTTAAAAAAAAAAAAAGATTTTTAACGAAAATTTCGGACGTGCTCGGAACGATTAAAAAATGTAAAAAATATCCCCAAAATACTTTGATCTTTCCGCTTAATAATAACATGAACATTTAGACGATAAAATTTTGTTTTTGTTAAGTTTGGCGTCTTTTTCATCATGCTATGCTCTCTTTTAGCGATCTCATGGAGGTACTTAATATAATACTATGCATTAACACATTTATACATCAATATTTTTAATCTTCCTCATGCTTCATAGATAGATAAATATTTTCCCTCCTCATTTAGCTGACTTCAGCATTGACACTCGTCCGCTATTT